ATCTGCACACTGTTTATTTCTATGGCTTAATATCTATGAGTTCTACTTAAATATTTAATGTTGGGAAAAATTTTAAATCAAGCTTATTCATCTATTGAAAATACAATTAATGAGCTTTCCCTTGCACTCAAATAAAAACAAATAAGTTGTTTCTCACTGGTCTGAACATATCTAAAACTGGAATATTTTATAATAAAATATACAATAACCAAAAAGTGTTTCTCTTACTACTGTCACGTAAATGATTTCATTTTTTTGTTTGGCAGATGAGAAATCAAATAGTTCTGACAAAACATATGAAGGGATTAAGACATAAACTTTTCTTTTCTAGAAATACCACTACAATAATTTCTCCTTCAGAAAAGCAAGGAATTCAAATGGGAACAAAAGTTAATATAAAATATTAATGGGGAATTTTGACAAAAACACAAAGGAATACGTGTTTGAAATTTCTCCCCAAATCTCTCCCCAAGCCACTGTCTGCACAGTCCTTCACAGTCCAGCTCCTGCTCTGGTCATTCCCATTACAGCCCTCCCTAGAGGGTGTCACCCTACCTCCTTTTTATTCAATTTTTCTTGTCTTCCTACAGCATATGACACTACAGAAAATATTCCCCTTCCAGAATTCTCTCTTCCCTTGGCTTTTCTGGCAGTGCCTTCTATGTTCTTTTCCTAACTCTGGCCATTTTCCCCTATATTCCTTCTTCCCTCTTTTCTCCAAAATGTAAACATTTACCAGGGTGTTCTCTTTCACTTTCAATTTGTTTTTTAAAAACATTTCTCTGTTGTCACTAATTATTATCCATAGCATGCTGTCCCATCTTGTGGAGATGATTATAAAATCTACATCATTAAGTTCCAGATTTGTACATTCTGGGGCTGGCTGGTTGCTTATCATTCTCATGAATGTGTTTCTAACTACTGATCAAACTTAAACAGATGTGTTTATTCCCCACATGTTCTTCATCTTTCCCATTTCATTTAATCACAGCACTGAAGTCTACAAAATTTGCTATCATTTTCAATTTCCATATTCTGAACCTATGGATTTCTCCTTTCAGATGCCATCCTATCCCCTTCTTTCTATCTGCACATCAACCCATGTGACAGACACCCTCATTGTCCCCTAGGAAAGACTCTACTGCCAGAGAAGTCTTCAATAACCATACCTTCTATAGTAGAAGCACCTGGAACAAGGCCAGCTTGAGAACAAGCTTCGGAAGCGCTAAGCAAATACCTGCAAGTTTTTACCAATCACTTATAGCCATCTGCAACATCATTTAGTGCAACATTTAGTGAGGTAATATCCGTGTCTCCCAAACCAGACATCTATCCCATTTTCTGTTCTCATAGTTTTCTTTTAATCTTTTTGAGAGCCCTTCACCTATGTCCCCATGGTGTCAATTCTACCTGTTAGATGTTAACTCCTTAATCCAAACACTGTATAGATTATCTTTGAACCCCTCACACTGCTTTAAATAATAAGTGGATGCTTGCTGCAATTTGCCTTCATAAGAAAATGTAGTGATGATGTGTTTAGGGAACATTATTAACCTTATTTTGCAACCAGTAAGCTTCAAATTTGTATCTTTTGGACAAATTTTTGAAATGCACATCATACTTCTAAATGATATCCTTCTTACAGAGATAAAAAACAACCAGTCCTACAAGTCTTCTTAAACCTTATTTGCACAATAAACTTAGTTTTAGGACTATCCATTGTTACATATATATTGTAATAATATGAAACTAAAGTTGTAAAACAAGTTCTTGATTTTGATAGCACCAGAAGTTTTATAATATTTACTCACTGCCTGATGAGAATGTTGTATAATATGACAGTAATCATGATAACAAATTTTATTAAGAGTTTGCTCTGTAATGAATACTGCTTCAGATATGCATGAATTCTTTTTAATCTTTATAAAACCATACAATATATACTATCTTTACTTATCAGTTGAAAAACTAAAGAACAGAGATTACATGATTCACTTAAGGTCATCACACAGCTAGTAAATTGCAAAGCCCAAATTCAAACCCTTACATTCTAGCTTATCATTTTTCCCTTAAATATATAAAAATTCTTTGAAATAAAGATAACACAAAAAGGACAATAAAAAATACTTGACATACCACAAAAATATCTGAATAAACTCTTATTTTGAAAAGCTAACTAAGCTGGATTTTGTCACATACATCTGTAATCCCAGTATTCAGGAAGTTGAAGCATTCTGTAAATTTGAGGCCAGCCTGGGTTATGCAGGGAGACCTTGTCTCAAAAACACAAATTAAAAAATAAATATATAAAAAGGTAACTAAAAGCCATGAGGCTTTTAGAGAATTTGAGATATTTCAGGGTTCTAGTGTTCGATGACATAAAGGAAGCGAGAGAATTGAGAGAGTTTTTCCAGTGGTCTGGAGTGGCCTGAAGACTCCTTCCCAGTAACTAAAACGTGATTTGCACAGAGCCCTTCCTGCGTTGTGCACTGTCTGCTATGCAACAGGAACTCTGTATTAGTTACTTTTGTATCTCTGTGACTAAAGACCTGAATGAAGCAACTTAAAGGAAGGAATTATGCATTTTGACTCATGGTTTCACTCCATGGTCACGTTAACCCATCACAGAGGTGGGGTCTTGTGGAGAAGGAAACTGTTCATCTCCTGGTGGGCAGGAAGCAGAGAAAAGGAGAATTCAGGAAGAGACCAGAGAAAGATTTAACCCCCAATGACCCACCCCAGTGATTACTTCCTCCAACTAGGCCCCACCTATGACTTTTCACCACCTTCCAATAACTCTATACTATGAATCCATGGGAGGATGAATACACTGATTAGGTCAGAGCCCTCAGGTCTAATCACTTCCCCAAAGCCCATTAGCTGGTAACCAAACCCCCAATCCATGAAGCTTTGGGAGACATCTTATATTCAAACCATAACAAACTCATTGCTGCAACCAACAAGGATATTAATGCAAGTGCCATCACTAATGCCTAGAGAAGGAAGGTTCTTTTCTGTGGACAGTTTTCTTGCTTTTTCTTTTTCCATCTCTAGGATCCATTTAGTCTCTAGGGACAGACATATGTCTCTTTAGTTTCTTTCATTTATTGTGTTTTTGGAAAGACAGACTAGATCATCTAGAGGACAGAGCTGTTGAGCAATGGAAACTGTGGCAGATGAGGTGCCAATGGGACACTATGGCATGCAGCCTGAAGTAGAGAAGACTTGTCTGGGTGTGTTGTTATTCAGAATATAACATGAGGAGGAAAGATTAGATTCACATTGCTGTCAAAGGAGTAGAAAAAGAATGGGGATTAGAAGCCAAGCAATGTAAGATACTGTTTTTAAAAAAGTTTTCTAAAGATGGTATGAATTTGACTGAGAGGTAGTAGTTCCTCTACAACTACAGGCATCATACTTAAGTTGGACAGCCAGTGTGGGAAGTGGGGATGGTACTGAGAGTAAATTTAAATTAGCTATCTAGTCACACTGGATGACTTTTAAGTGTTTATGACCCTGAGAGTCGAGATTCCAGTTCTGTTCAATCACCTGGTTGGGGGTTCTCTATCCTGCACTCTGCTCTAAGCCAGTCTTAAGTTTATACTAATTCTCTGTTTTTACTTCTGCAATTTACAAGATTAACCTTTCATATTTTGCCCAAAATTGTGTCATTTTTCCTAACAGAGACATATCCTCCTCTATTAGTCATACTTAGTAATACTTGAAAGATATGGTATGTAAACATAAATAGTTATATAGGAAAACAACACAGTCCACAAATGATTATATAAGATAGATACTCCATAAATACATTCATACATAACAAATGCATATAGACTAAATATACAAATATACAGAATTCAGTCATAGAGATAATAAATGATAACTTCATGGAATGTGGAAGTCATTTGTATTGATGGAAAATTGGCGTAAACAAAAGTACTTGGGTGAGGTAATTTGAGCCAAACATGTTTTACCAGAGGTAGGAGAACTAAACCAGCAGAATTGGATCTATTGATATTAGGTTGAAGAGATTAAGAAGAATATTTGTGGAATATTTTCAGCTAACTATATGCTTTTATAATATCCATAACTCATCTAGGAATCTCTTCACCTCCCTACATCTGGATGTTGGATTGTTGACAGGAATACTTTAACTTGAAAATATATTAAATACTAAATTATTGGATGATATAGGTGTTAGTGATACCTATAATCAGGCTTATATAAATCTAGCTGGTTCTAAGTGAAGCAAGAAAAATGTATACAAATCATCTCCTTAGATAGGAGCTTCTTATTACTTATAGGTAAAATAATATGCAAATAGCTGCCTATCCAATAAAAGTAAAATATAATACTAGAGCAACCCTGAAATTCTTGGACACCCCCATGGGACAGGAGTGACTGACTCAACCCCCAAAAATGCTAGCAGTGAGGGAGTTAGTTTCCTAAAGCCCTCCTCATAAGAAGTCTTCTAAATACTTCTCACAGCTGTCAAGACACATCTAGGACCCAGGTTGGTGGCAGAGCCCTGGGGTCACTCTCATTTTCATCTAATTATAACTCTTCTCATGACACAACTGCAAGTCACATCTCCTAAGTACCTCTTATGCATAACTCCTTATTTATTTGTTTGTTTATTTTTTTTTCAGTACTGGTGATTGAACTTGGGACCTCACTTTTGTTAGGAAGCACTCTACATTTGAGTCATGTCCCTGGCCTTTTGGTTTTAGTTTATTTTTCAGATATACCCTCATCCATTTTACTCAGGACATAATCTTCCTACCTCTGCCTCTGGAGTAGCTGGGATTACAGACAGATATGCACCACCATGCCCAACTTGTGGAACTCTGTCTTTTATTTAAAAATGTCAAGGAAGAGAGCAACCAAGATTAATGAAGGAGCAGAAGAGAACAGGAAAGCACTAACTTCAAAGCAGAGAAGTTTTGTAAGCATTTGTTTATAAATATATATATTCATGCTCATTAAAACTTACTTACCTGCTGCTAAAGTTTGTCCTGCTCCTGAAGCACTGGTTACACAACCAATTGAATTGCAGAGAGAAACGATAAAGCTGTATTTTCTATAAGGCTTCAGTCCTTTTACAATGTAAGACAGGTCTTGGGATTTAGCAGTGTGCAACAGCTTAGAGGCAAAAATAATAATAATAATCAGATAATAGATAACCACTCAAACAATGTAACCTTGGCAGTCAAAGTTCCATGAATTCACACAGAGGGAATTATTGCCAACTGCTATTAGGAAAAGGGATTTTTTAAAGAGTTTCAACAAGCCAGGATTTAATTGATAATTGTACAATCACACTGTTTTATGAGGTAATAATCCAGTTCCTGAGTGGATAAATGAGAAAACCAAGTTATTGCCTCATAAAGCAGCGTGGTGGTATGGTTATTGTCACCAATGGTAGAGATAAAGATGGTGACATTGTCATTGTTACTGTGAAAAAGTCCAAAGCAAACCATGGTGTTTGGCCAAAAGTAACCCAGTGTAGTTATGCCACATGCTAGCTGATGGCACTAGAAAGAGCAATGTCACTGTGCTAAATCAGTCTATCTTTTCTTTTAAAAATAAACAGAATAAAAAGGAAAAATGATTAAACATATTGCCGAGTAGCCACATGAGGTCAATTCTTAATTATCTTTTTTTATGCAAACAAGCACATACAGATTAGATCAAACCATTACATTTTTTGAAATATTGTCTTTGTCATACACTTTCAAATGAAAGTATCAGATCTGAGAATGAGAGGAACTCTGAAGTTCATAAACAAGTAATTAAACAACCAGCTCTGAAAATTGGCCCCATCATTATAACTGGAGTTGATCAAAAGAACCATGTAAATTTTCTTAGGCTGTGGATACAATACAGAGAGGAAAAAGTCATTACAACGGAAAGCACACCAACCATGAACAAAAAGGTATTTTTCTTAGGGCTACTGATACACACTAACACGCTCCACAAAATGTTGTGGCCAGCAATGGCCCAGTATGACTGTACATACGACCATGGTCACAAAAGATTATATGGGAGCTGAAAGTTTCTATCACCTAGTGACTTCACAGTCTTTATACTGTCCTCATTGCACAAAGAATCAGATGCTTGTGGTGATGTTGGTGTAAACAAATCTGCTACACTGGCAGTGGTATAAAACTCTAGCACACAAAATTATGGGCAATACAGAATACTTGATAATGTCAGCAGATGACTATACGAATGGCTTATGTATTTACTATTTTGTCATCATTCTGTAGTGTACTTTCCACTCACTGTAAAGCAGTTTGCCAAATTATACCAGCAGCAGCCTCATGTATGTTGTGCCATGTTTCTGTATTTTCCGTGAAGTGGTTGATTTACATCATCTAGGTTTGCGTAAGTACACTCTGTGATGTTCATATGGCAGTGAAATCTAATAGTACATTTTTCAGAGCATATCCCTGTTGTTAAGTGACACACAACTCTACCTTTACATAAAATAATTTTTTAAATAAGTGTAAATACAGAGGATTGCAAAGCTGAGTACATTTCCTTTGGGAGTACAATAAAATTCATGTGGAATGTTTGCGTAGGTTATTGACTTTAAAATCTTACAAGTTAAAAAGCAAAAGAATAGCTAAAAACAGCAACAAATTATCAAGGATAAATACTGAATGAAACATAACAAAGTTATAATTGTAAATTTTCCTTAAATATCATATTACATCAGATCAGTACATTAAACTAAAACTAAACTAAAAAGATTTGCATTGCACTTCTTATGCTTCTATCAAAAAATATTTCCAAATCAGCCATCACATAGCCACAATAATGGGAAAATACAATAAGGAATCATAAATTATATATTGTCTATTTTTGTCTACTATACAGAATAAGATTTTGTGTTATATATGCTCTATCCAGTAAAATGGCTGAGGAAAAATATAGCACACCTGTCGGTAGTGGATTATAAAGTGTCTACTACAAAATCATGTTTACCCAGAACCTCAGAAAGTGACCTTCTGGCACTTAGTTAGTTAAGTTCTCTTGTACTTAGAGTTAGCCTTAGGTTCAACGACTGGTGCTTTTACAGAAGAAATGGAAAGTAAACAAAGACAGAGGAGACCGAGACACAAAGAAGACAGTGGCAGAGACTGGAGTTATGTTTCCACAAGCCAGCGACTGTTGCAAGCTGAAAGAGGCAAGAAACGAAAGTCTGATAAAGCCTAGGGAAGTTGGTCAGCCCTGCCAGCACGTTAATTTCAGTTCTCTGACCTCCAGAACTGTGCAAGAATAATGTCTATTGCTTTAAGCCACTTGTTATACTTTAATTTTTTATGACAGTCATAGAAAATAAATATAGTGGAAGTACAAAGGTTTAACTACTTCATCACTCCATTTGGGACAACCTTAGAGGTTGTTTCTGTTCCAGAACTTTTCACGGGATCAGTTGAGGCCTTTTTCATCTTCTTATTCTGCTCCATGCTGCATCTCTTACTACTTTACAGGGATTCTTTCTGAGAGAACTCCCCATATGACTCCCACACTGGAGTCTCTACCACAGAGCACACTGTTAGTGGAACTAGACCTATGAGGGTGGCACCAGGAAGGCTACTCCTAGGAAGGAGACGTAGCAAAATGTATTCTGAAGCTGGCTTACTCTAGTTGGCTAGCAATCAAGAAGGATCGCAGGTATTAAGCACCATTCTGATAGCCCACAGCACTGCTCTAGTGGTGCAATTTTTTAAATTCCATTGGCAATAAACTCCTAAGACTACCTTGGAGAGAGTAGAGATAGTAAGGACTGTGCAATCACATGGATCTTGCTGGTTATAATCAAATGCATTGAAAGAAGACAATCTGAGAGCATATAATCACCATTTTAAAACAAATTATAAAACCCTCCTTTTTTGGGAGTGGTGATACTGGGGTTTGAACTCAGGGCCTTGTGCTTTCTAGGAAGGTGCTCAACCACTTGATCCATATCCTCAACTCTTTTTGTTTTAGTTATTTTTTGGATAAGGTATTATGCTTTTTGCCTAAACTGGACTGGAATGGTGACCCTTCTACCTACATTCTAGAGCATGGCTGGGATTATAGACATGTGTCATCATGTCTGACATGTTGAGATTGGGTCTTGCTAACTTTTGCTCAGGCTGGCCGCAAGCTGCAATCTTACCAATCTCTACCTCAAAAATCCTTCTGAGGCATTAGTTCTCTGTATCAATAACATCATGTTAAATGGGTCATATAAACAAGAAACAGCAAGTACATAGAGTAAAACCTGTCTCCAGAGTGTAGGAGACCAACTTTATAATGATTAAGGGGTCTGCCACATCAGTGAAGGATTTGAGAATCTAAATTGAGGTATTCTGGGACATACAGTTCAAAGTAAAAGATAAAGTATTTCATCTTTCATATCCACCACTAAGAAGGAAGTACAATGTTTGATGAACTTCCTGTTCCACAGGGACCATATCCCACTGTTGAATACTGTTCTATCCAAGTTATCAGGCAATATGTGATTATGCCACTTTTAATAAATCCTAAAGCAGGGATGTGCCTGCAACAGATTTAGGCTTTAGTGTATGGCCATGAACCATTTGGGAAATTAAGCCTAATAGATCCTTTCATGGAGAGTCACTAGGTAGTCCCTCAGTGTCTGGTGCAAAAGCATATCTTGCAAAGGAAAACTAGACCATTTGCTAAACACTTCCAACATGCTACTGAGCTTCAGTAAAAGCAGAGCTTGTGACCATAGGGCATCAAATGACCATATAGTCAAGAGCTACTTCTTTTGAGATGGGTTCTTTCTGACATGCCAAGTCTTATGGCAGGTGGACTCAAGAGAAATTCATCATAATATGGAAATGACTACCTAGAATTGGGTAGAAGCATGGCCAAAAGCCGTAGCATGTCATTCAATCCCATGAGAGTTGTCTCAAGAGGAAAAGAAAAGGAAGAAAATCAGTTTTTAGATCACAGGGTTGTCTTGGTATGATTACAAGTTAAAAATGGATGCTTGCTTCCCTATAACTTCCTCTGATGTTCCTAAGAAACAACCAAAGAAATCCTCTCAATGGCCAGAATTTCACATAGTGATCCATTTTGTGTGGAACTAAAGGTGGCTGAAGACAAAATATATGTGGACAATATGGCAGTTGCTTGGCTATTTTAGTCATGGACATAAAAGAAGAAAGATTAAAAGAAAAAGATGTACAAAGAAAAGAGCAAATAGATAGCTCTATGGAAGTGGGTATGAAGTATGAAGATCTGTTTACCTCATGTTACTGCCCATCAAAGAGTATGTCCCTCAGAAGATGTACTGAACAATCAAGTGCCCAGATGACTTATCTCATTGACATCAGCAGCCTCAGCCATTGGCCACCCCCCTGCTGGTAAAATGGTCTAATAAATCACATCAGTCACAATAGTAAACTAGGGAGAAAAAGAGTCTCTCTCCTTCCAGGATTGTTAGGCATGTCCGATGAGTTATTCTTGGAAACAGTAAAGTCTCGGTAACTGTTAACTATAATTATTACCCTCATTACTGTTTGCTGGAGAATAAATTACTAAAGAAGTCAAGATGTAAGAATATATACAAATCCTTGAACATATTCATATGTTCATATAATTCACATGAATTATATTCATAATTTTTGTGTAACCTATGATAAATTCTGTTCTCCAGGATTTTTTTAGGGAAATTGAAATATATACAAAATGTACGTAAAAGCTGTTCATAATATACATAAAAATGTAATAAAAGCTGTTCTTATATTATTCATATTTCCAAAAGGACATAATATTAATATCAACAGATTTTGAACTGGTTAAATACACTATTGTATGTCCAAATAATTTGATAATACATAGCTGCTGAAAGTTTACTTATTGAAGAATGTTTAAGGATAATTAGAAAAAGTAGATCTTATGAAACAAAAGTATACCAACTTTGTTTCAATATATGCTTACATTAGAAAAAACAAGTGATGTATATACAAAATGCCTTAAACATACAATATTATGTTAAAAATGTCTCATTTAATGAATAGATGGAGAATTTGTCATGAAGTTCTGAAATTTCAGAAAATGTTAAATGATAACAAAATTTACCTTAATTCTGAAAGGAAACTAGTTAAAAATAACAATACCTGTGAAAATGATGCTGGAACAGATTGTTGAGGTGACTGTTCAGAAATCATAGTGATGTTATACCCTATGACTTTTCCCCTTGTCACATCTTCTCTTGGCTTCCCCCAGGACACATTGAGAGAGTGTGACGAGAGTGGAAAGACATAGGGAAGGAGCATGAATACAGGAGCTATCAAGACAAAAATAACATCAAAACCATAAATGCTGTCCCTGTCAGTTTTCAGACTCACTCACATATTCTATGTCTAATTTTGTTTTTGGTGGGATTGGAGTTTGAACTCAGGACCTCATGCTTTGCAAAGCATTCACTCTTATCACTCGAGCCACACCTCCAGTCCATTTTGCTGTGGTTATTTTGCAGATAGGAAACTCACATTTTGCCTGGCAGGTTGAACTGTGATCCTCCTATTTTATGTTTCTCACTAAAGTTGGGGTGGCATGTACATATGACCATGCACAGCTGTTGATTGAGATGGGGTCTCACAAACTTTTTTTTTGGCCAAGTTGGCCTTGAACCATCACCCTCCCAATCTTAACTTGACAAGTAGCTAGGATTGCAGGTGTGTACTACCACACTGGCAATATTTATTTACAAAAACATCTCTTAGGAATATTCTTATGTTCATAAAGATAGCTAGTAGATAATTGGATAGATAACCACATATAAATATTTGAATGAAATTACAAAGAAAGGATGTGTCCCAGTTCACAAAGTTCAGAATGACGCATAATGACATACTGTATTTCTCATGTAGAAAAATATTTCCCTGAGCCAAACTAGATAAAGCTACCTTCAGAAAGAGGTAGATCTAAATTGTTCTAAATAACTCCAAACAATTTGTTAAGTCTTGATTGAAATGTTCAGGGTACATACACACCGTACATTTTCTCCCTGCCATCCTTGAGATCTTAATATGGATTTTAAATGTGCTAACCAAAGGTGTATTACCAAAGGACCTCATTGCACTATCATTATCCGGTGACCCATAAGATTATGAGGGTCCAGTATTGCAGTGTCACCCATTACTTTTCATTTCTGACCTTGGCTTTCCCCTTCCAGAATGCCATGCCTCATCACTTGTGCTCTCATGGCACTATTATTTGTCCAAGATGGCAGGCGGTCATTAAGCGATGCTCAAGCACAATGCACATTTTATTCATGAAATGATTCCCTTGGACATCAGCCTAAAGTTACCCTCATCCTGTACAGTTCAACCACATCAAATTGAGATCAGGATTTAGGTTTCTTTGGGTATCTATAAATTCAAGGAATAACAAAAGTGCATTTGTTCTCTTAAATGTTAGTGAAACTTGAAGTATGCTTAATGTAAAGAATAAGATGGAAGATTAAAAAATAACTCTTTTGCCTTAATAAAGATACCTTAAGAAAACTAATATCTTTACCCACCCTCCTTACCATAATGTCAATGTAAATTATAGATTTTGATGTTTTGTTTCTGTGATTGTGTATGATCTATTACCTACATTATTGGTTTTGGAAAGAGAAACACAAAGACAGAACATTAAAATTGGTAACAGTTCTCTCTTCTACAGAACATAAACTATGGTGAATATGAAGTAAGATGAGGCAGGCAACAAACTTGCTTCAGGACTGGGAACCAATTGTTTTTTGGGGGAATAATTCCTAAAAGACTATAATCATAGTTAAGTGCTCCTTCCAATGAATTAATACCTAAAATATTTACTTCCCCCCTAAAACCTACTGCAAATACTTTATGGCCTCAAGTTACTTATGTAACTAACCTAAGTTCTCCCTTGGTCCATATAAGTTTATAATTCTTGTTTTCCAAAATTCACTGTTGGCTTTAATTTCAGGCAGCACTTTCATTCAGTTTTATTTTTTTTTAATAGAATTCAAAACGCCAATCTTTACCTGACTCTCCTGTTCTTTCTGACTTCCAGGCAGAAGACACATTACCAGCCATATTCATAGCTAACACTCTAAACTCATGCTCAATGTATGGCTGCAAGCCAATGATGGATACAGTAGTTTCAGGAGGCTTTAGTTCAGTTTCATTGGCTGATACTGCAAGTGGGTGAGGACCGAAAAAGCCACTGCTCTGGAACACTTGACTCTCTTCAGTAGATCTCACTCTTTTCATGTACAATTCATATCTTATAATTACTCCTAGAAAAGATAAATAGAAAATCAAGGTGACTCAGACAAAGGGGTTGTATTTGTGGTGGGAAAGGACAGGTCATTTAAAGAGTGCTGATATTATTCTAAGTAGATCACCTGTCAATTTTGATTTTTTTTTGTGGTAACTTAATTACAGCAATTTGGTAATCTAGATGATAGCTACTTATTTTTTTAAAAAAATCTGTTGCATACAAGGATGTGTGAAATGCTATTAGAGGCACTTTCATAGGGAAAACAAACCAAATGAGATAGTGTATGAATACAAAATGGCTATCATTTGTCATAAGTAAATTCAACCTTTTACAAGACAGATGGTCATAATTTTTAACAAAGATGACTAGTCCTTTTTGGAAATTTGAATACTCTACTTCCAACTTGTATATTCACAAATTTGGTGATTTAAGTTTAACATAAGCCATATTTGCATAAATACTATAACTAATTTTTATCCAGTTTTGTCAAATAACTTGAAAGATATGAGAAAAGGTTTTGCCATAATATTTGCATGATATAAATTACTAAAAATCTATGAATGTTGTTCTGGCCTACATAACCAAGGGTTCAATTGTATGAACACAAAAATTAACTTAATGGAGTCAGCTAGCCTATATACATATTTTTCATATTATTTTATATCTTTTTCTTGCTTAAAAGAGAAAATTTACTGCTTATGGGTGCCCTAACTTGTGACACAGTCAAATATAATGCATTTCATAAGTGAGCTTCCAATTATCAACATCATTTGTGTTATGGCAGATGTCATTAAGAGCAAAGATAATATTAGCCTTTTAAGGAGCAATTTAATTGAATGGAATATATTATTAGATTAGAAGAAATACACTGGTTCCACTAACCAGGAGAAATACTATCTTATATTTTTAGAAATTATTGTTCAAAATATAATATCATGCAGTTATATAAACAAATACAGTTTCCAGACTCTTAATACACAATTCCAATTGCCTAGATTCTTATTCTCATTCAAGAAATGGAAGACTCGGCCTTAAATTCTTACCATTAAGCTCCATGGGTGGAGACCATTCTACATGAAGTTCTGTGGGACTGATTTTCAGTATCCCAGGTAGACTCAGCTTTTGGGGAGGTGCCTGGGCTGTGGTTACTATAATGGGCAAACTGTGTAAACAACCCCCACTAGCACACGCTTGTTCAGAAAAATGGTAGTGGGTGAATGGCACCAGATTCCAGATGGTAGCTGAAGTTTCATGACCTTCATAGTGAACACAGGGCTGAATGCTGTCCAAAGCAGAGCAGGATAAAATATATTGCACTATTGGACCAAAATGATTGGAGAGTTCACCCCAGGTAAATGTTAGAAAGTCAGAACTAATAGGAGTGATATAACTTAAGTTCAAGTGTCCCTCTGGAACCCCTGGCTTTGTTCTGTAAATGACAGCAATACTCCTTGTTAAACTGTGCACACTGGCAGTCTTGATGTAATATAAATATGAGGTATGTGGTGTCAGGGAAGTATCTAAGAAATGTTGAATATCTGGAATAAAGAAGAAAAAATGAGACTGTTACATTCCAAAAACTGGTAAAGAATAATTTCTATATTATTCAACTACATTACTTATACCAATCTACTCTATTGAATAAAAATATATTTCATATTTTTTTTTGTTTTTTAGTTCCTTTATTATGCTGGGTGGGGGTACATTGTGGCATTTATAAAAATTCTTACAATGTATCTAATATATCATACTTGAATTCACCCCCTCTATCACTCACCTTTATCTCTTCTCCCTCCATTCCTGGAATAGTTTCAACAAGTATCATTTTTGCATTTACCTAAATGTGCACACAGTTTTTGTACCATAGTCACCGTCCTACTCCTTTATCCAGCTACCTCCTCCTCCCACTGGTACCAACCTCCTACCACCCAGTAAGAGCCTATTATAATTTTAAAAAGTGAAATAAGGCAAATACTGAATACGGTTTGGGATAATGTGGGAAAATGTAATTTGCAGTAAAGTATGTTTAGAAGCTGGTTTTAGTTCTTATTTTGTTTCCTAAAGCATCTTTTGGATAGAAGATCTAAGAGGATGTTCTTGCAGTCTTTGAAACAGACATAACTGCTTCCTCAGTGTAATTGGTTTGTTTGTTAAATGCTAGCACACTAGGCCAACTGTCTACGAGCTAGCACTGAGTGCCAAGTCTGTCACCTGGCCGATACCTTGACTGAAACCTTTCCTGCCTTTTCTGACCTAAAGAAATTGCATAAAATTATAAATGTTTAGAACGATTGCTGCCTGCTCCCTCATGGGCTTGGGGGAGTGGAAGGTGGTAGAGGTTTTCATTATGTAGACATTCGTGTGACGATCTCAGCATATTTACACACTTACAGTATAATGGGCATTCAGATCTGACTTAATCTGTCTGGTTTCCTGAATGATGATGATGTTGTTGAGTCAGTGGACCCACTATGGGATCTTTAGTGACTGAAGCAAGGTGACCTTTCAGCCTTTGGGAGGGTCAAAAGGCTGGATAGGATGTAGGGGGATAATCTCAGAAAGTTCTCAGAAATATCAAGACCCTAGTGAAGGCTAAGATCGTAGAGTGTTCATGAAGAGTGTCACCTGACCAACTGAGGATGACATGTGTCTGTTCATCAACTTCATGCAGCAGGAATTAATGCCATGAGGATGCCAAGGGTCACAACGGAGGCAGTTACACAGCACAAAGGAGCCAGCAGCCTCTAAAGGAACTTCTTCAAAGGACAAGAGGGAAGCTTTCTTTCCCCTAAATATCACTAGTTATGATGGTTAAGGGAAGAGGGTAATAGAAGACTAACAATATGAGTGTCCAAGTGAAAGAAAATTTTTATCATTCTTTTAGACATGTCACTGTCAATTCTTCATAAAAGTATATATTGCATGAGTATTAGAGGTCAATCAGGACACAAAACTCACAGAATGATCTACACAAGCAAAGTTTAATATAAAGGATTGTGACAAGACTCTTTGATTTCTTTAGTTTTGTTTTGGGTTTAGTACTGGGATCTGAACCCAGGACTTCACACTTGCTAGGCAATCACTCTACCACTTGAGCCATGTCTCCAATCCTTTTTGCTCAGCTTATTTTGGAGATAGGCTCTTGCTTTTTTGTCCAGGATAATTTGGACCACAGTCCTTTTTTAAGTTTCCTGCTATAGCTGGGATGACTAGTGTGTGATGCCACACTCAGCTATTAGTTGAAATGGGGTCCCACAAATTTTGTCTGGCTTGGCCTTGAATTGCAATCCTCCCTATCTTAGCCCTCCAAGTATCTAGGATTATAGACATGAGCCTTGAGGCCCTAACTGACAAGGTTTTACTTTCGAAGGGACACAGAAAATACTCTAAAGAATATAAAGTAACTGGAAACATAAGTAATAGGTCAAAATTTGACTACACCTCATGCCCAAAGAAGAAACATTCAGAAAACTCCCTTAGGGCTGAGATCCAGACTTCCTTGGACCCAGGGCTAGATCCAGTCTTCCTGAATGGTGGGAAAGTTTGCTGAGGTTCTATGAAGACAAAACTCTCTGGGACCAGCTCTTTGTTATGCCTAGTGAAGCCCAAGACTCACTGGGAAGCCACCCTCTGTGGTGTACTTACTGGGTGCTTATAGCCTTTGAAAATTGAGATCTTACCTCAAAAGATCAGGATGTGTTAGAGCAGCCTTACTTGATAAGAAATTGGAATAATGATAGAGCCAATATGGGATATGTACTTGGATAAGGAATACCATGTAAAACAATTTATAGTCTATCTAAATAAAAGCATTTAAATGATACAGTAGTATACCTATTAATGCTGTTATGATAAAAAATGATACTCAGATTAAAAGAGTGCTTACCTCAAGGTGATTGCTTTCCTTGCTTAAAGTAAGGATTATTATCTCTGGATTAGTATTCTGAGTTTGAAAATGTGATGTCTTACCAAAATCTTCTGCACTTTCAGGGCTACATGTAAACTCCTTGTCTCAGAATTAACTTGGGATCTTAGCTGGTACCTCCCTGACCTGCAGCATTCCCTGCAGTAGTCCACCTGCAAAGCCCATGGCACAGCTCATGTTTCCTGCATGTACTTTATTTTTCATATACCTGTATGCCTTTTAATGTGCAATTTCTTCCTTGACAATCACTCCTCCTCTATCACAACATCTAGCTAACCCAATTCACATCACCTCTTCAGTGTGAAACTTTCAATGCTTCTCAATCACCATCATGGCCAGAATTGGTATGATTGCCTTTTCTCCACCCCAAAACTTACCTCATGCTTTTTTAATATTCTGATAGGCTCTGGTTCAACATTTAATATATTGTACTGTAAATTTGGTGTACTTATCTGACTCTCCTCATCTAGGAGAAAAGATCCTTCCATCTTTGTTTTTCTTAAGGCTGATAGAGTTGCTGGTCTGGAGTAAGCATTGAATGGAAGTATTTTGAGTAAAAGAATGACTTCTCCCTATACATCTGATCTATCTTCTAGGAAAGAAATTCAAAAAAATGTTAATAGTTTTTAAAATCTTATAGAAAGCTGTGTATGCTGGTAGAATTGCTCAGTGATAAAAACATCAGCCTAGCACAAGTATGAAGACCTGAGTTCAAACCCCAGTACTACCAAAAAAAGTAACCATAAGCTGTGTATGCACATATTTGATCTAAGTTCCAGCCAACATTTGTTAAGTGGGGTTACGGTAGCTATTTTAAATAGCATCTCAATGTGTTTTAGATCTCCATTTTGCTAATGTTTAGTGATGTTCTGCATGTTTTCTGCTCACTTGATATTTTTATTTTCTAGAAAGATATCTATTCATTCCTTGTCTCATTTTTTTGGATCAGGCTTTGACTGTCTAGGATCAGTAACTTCAGTCCAGATATTAAACTATTATGATACAAAAAAAAGAAGTAAAATCTTATAGAAACAGTTGCCTGTCATCTTGTCTTCTTTTTTCTTCCTTACATCTTTTGTTTCTTTCTCTCAGAACTAAGTGATCCATCTTACCAGTTGCTATGTTGAGCCTTTGATGTACTACAGAATAATAAATGATAATGATATTAAGGTGGAAATGAATACTAAAAGAAGAAATGAAATCCTCAAGTTCACTAACATGCATTTTTATGAAAAACCCTAAACTTAAACTACATTAATATCTTTGGGTAACATAAGAAATTATCACATGTAGAAATAATCATCCTTTAGTTTCCCTGTAGAAAGACTTCTCTACAGTGACATTTAAGAACCATCTTCTTATTCACAATGTCCATGTAAATATGAAGAACTTACATGACTGAAATGAGGGGATGGGGTAGGAGAAGGATGCAAAGCATGCTCAGATCAGCCCAATGTTTCTATTTTCAAATCTGCCTTCCTTGCAGGATAGACAGTATATCCTCTAGTCTGGTATTTTTGTTAGTATTACTTTTGCAAAATAATGGTGACGTTTTCATTCATATAATGTATTTGATCATTTTCATTCACTATTGCTCGCTCTTGCAATTCCTGGTCTCCTTCCTCCTAATAGACTCCTTTTCATCTTTTTCTTTCTTTTCTAATTTTATTTTTGAATTATCATCATTAATAATATGAAAGGATTTCATTGGAATACCTCCACACATACATACAGTGAGCCTTAAACACGTTCACCCCTCCCACTATATTTCCATTCCCCCTCCTCTCCTTTTACAAACAGTGTTTTTGGGGTTTCATTATGTTGATTATGCCATCTTCATATGTGTATACATATCGCCTACTTCCTTTCTTTTCACCCCTCAGTATCCTTTCTTTTCCCCTACCTCACCTGCTGATCCCTCCCTAGCCAGTCCCTCATATACATTATATCTTGTTATTATCATCAACATAGACATCATCATTATTTTAAGTCTCGGTTCCACAAATGAGGGAGAAAGTGCAATATTTGGACTTTTCAGCTTGGCTTATCTATCTCAGCATGATGATTTCCAGTTCCATCCATTTTCCTGCAAATGGCATAATTTCATATTTTATGATTGAGTAATATTCTTTATTTATTCACTGGTTGTTTAGACCTTCTTCAATCTTCATGTCTTTTTAAAAATCTAGATTCTACATATGAGAATACATGCAATATTTGTCTTTTTGAATCTGCCTTACTTTCCTTAACATAATTTTCCTGCAAATGACATGATTTCATCCTTCTTGATGAGTATTCAGAATACTCCATTCTGAATGTATTCCATATTTTCTTTATCCATTCATCCATTGGTGGGCACCTTTGCTGATTCCTTGGCTACTGTGAATAATGCCACAATAAACATAGGCATGCAGGTATCTCTATTGTATTTTGGATTCCTTTGTGTTTAATCTGGTTTTCATCAGTAATAAGAATGATTTTTATTTTTTGATTCCCTTCTTGCCTATCATATCTAGGAATTATACTATTCCTCTGGTTCTAAAATCAAGTAGAAATGTTTGTATGTATGTATATAATTTACTTAGAATTCCCTAAATATGCATCACCACAAAAGTGCTGTTTTCCTCTGATAATTGTTCTCTTTACACCTATGATACATAAGATACCTCTGAGCAAGCCAAATTGGGGCTACAGCAAATACAATATTGGGTGCCAATTGGGTATAATTCCATAGTGTTAACCTGATTCCCACACTTTTCTCTTCTACTTCTGACAGTACATGAGTATGCAAATCAATTATATTTTCTTTAGGGAGGCCATTAAATATAGCTTACTTTAAAAGTTATTTAAAGCTTATTTTAAAAGAACAATTATTCAGAAACTTGAATTATTCCACCTTTATGATAATATTATTACTAACACCAAATAGCCTGAAAGCTTTAAAGAAAATAATGTATGAGTGTACTAAGATAATCAGATAGAAACTTCTGTTCTGGAGAATCCTATAAGACCGCCAGGCGAGCTAGGAAAAGTGTCTATTCTAACAAAGAACTCTAATAATGGTCTCACCCAAATGATGAAACTTGCTTGGAAGACAACACTATTAATTTTCTTTGAAAAGTTCAATGATTCTCCACCTATAATTCCTAATGCCTTTATTTAACCCAAAGACTTGTGTTCATTCAGCTGAATATAAATTGTGTTTCCTTTTCATATTGCACATGCTAGCTATACACTGGAAATGAAGTAATAAACATGAGGGTATTATTAGAATGATACAAAGTTCTGACAGTGTTATCCAATTGTTCTTACTATTCAAATGCCATCATGCCGATAATTTTCACATCATTAATTGTAGTGATTGTCAAGAAATGCCAAAGTGATATTTTTAAATGAAAAATAAGGCTTTGGAAATAATACCTTGTTTAATAGGATTATATAAATGTCTGATTAGTGAATGAATGCACATTTATTATGTAAGAAACTGTTATTTGGATTCGATATTAGTGTAATTATGAAAAGAGCCAGAGTATTGTACTCACATGTAATATTCTATAAAAAAAAGCCCACAATATGTTGCCATAGAAAACATGGATTGAATGGTACCATTGACAGTTTTAAATTTAATTTTGCTATTGAATTTAGCTTTATGTAACATAGGGCAATGCTGATTTGCAGATTCAGAGATAATTCAACCAGTGGTACTGTCAACTTCAAAACCACTTTCAGTATTTTTATAACTCCTCTCTTCCTCTATCACAAAAGTTTAAGTTTCAGGACACCTGGATCATGCTGATTTTTGGAAGAAAATAAACATTTTAGTAGCAGGTTTTTAGGATGCTTTGCCAACGTGGCAGATGTAGACAGATGTTCATTTCCCTTTGCAATCTGCATCATGAAGTTCAGACTTCCCATTAACTTCAAAGAAGACTTGAAACACTGAAGAGACATTTAGAGTTAAAATTAAGTGATGGACATATTATAGTAGATGTAAATCATACGAAATTCAATTCAATTACTAGGTTCAAAGTGTAACATACAAAATGTAATATGATTGTTGAAAAATTATGCTATGCAGGAGTTTTAAAGTCACCTACTATGTAAGAACAAGGCATACACCTATCCATTTTAAGGGAGGATATAGAATGTCAGTGTTTTAAGACAGCTTCATATATTTTCTAATTTTATATGTTGAATAAAGATTTGGACATTGGAGTATTAAAGAGGACAAAGTGGATGCTTGAATTGGAATCACTATTCCAAGGCTTCCTAAGCTAGTTTTCAAAATTAATTTGCAGTTAAGCAGGACTAAAGCAAAAATCAGAGAAGACAGTGTTGAAAATCTGTAAAAATTCATATTTCTTCATTCTGTTTTTAGGGAAGCTGTATTTAAGACATGTAAGCAAATGTTTTTAAAGACAAAAGATTTCCAATACTTGATTTCTACAAACTCTTTTAAAACATACATAAAAGTTACAGTTGCAAAGATAGCCTTCTTGAATTGTCCTTGTAATATATAATATATATATATTATATATCCTTCCCCTTTCAATCTAAGCTTATGTTGTTACGCTCTATCTTTATGGAAAGGGCAATGTATACATATGATTATATTATGTGACTGAATGTTAGTATTCTGATTCCAGGTTTTAAAAGTCTGTTGTCTCTGAGAACTTAAAAAGTGAATCCATTATAATAGAAATATTTGATAATTTTTCTGAAATATTTGTACCCAGAGAAAACTATAGATCTACTTATTTTACAATATTCTTAAATTAAAATATTGGAAGTCAGAAATTTGTTTAACATCTTTTAGCGACTTCAAGCAAAATATCATAAACATTTTTTCTTCATTGATTTATAAATTAAAATATCATTTAAGGCTATCATAACCTATAATTTATTTAATGTACCAGGATTGATTCTATTATGCTATATATACCATATTCTGAAACATTGTTGGATGTCTGAGTCATTCCCAAAATATTAATATTACAAATAATACAAAAGGACACTTATAATTTTGTGTCCTTTTATGGTTATTTATTTGAGACAAACTCCCTAAAGTAAGGTTAATGTGTAAACTGCTATATAAAAATGGAGGATATTTTTACATTTTAACAATTTATTGTACATAAAGAGTTGCAACACTGAATCCACAGAGACACTCAGAAGTTTATGAATGTGCTGGACTCCCCACATCTTCCTCAATCCTAGATGGGGTGTCTTTGCTTTCTATCTTTGAGAATTTTATAAATATTATGTTTACCAAATGATAATAAGCTTTTCATTTTTATGGCATTTCTTTGATTACTAGTGAGATTTATAATTCTCTCTCTGCTTGAAACCCTCTGTGCTAACCAGAGGAAACCACAGCAACATTTATTCTTAGTGTCAAAAACTTAACAAATGTATCAAGTCTTAGAATATTAAATCTTTCCATCACCAACCCCTGAAACTCATTGTATGGGTATTGATCTTCAGTTGTGTACATTTCATGACTATCCCTGAATAAACTGTAAGTAAGCCAGTGGGCATTTGGAGAATCAGGTGGATTCCAGAAGAGACTGATAGCAGAAGAACTTTGAACTTGTCCTCTGAGTGGAGGTTGCTGGGATGGAGCTAAATGACAATTGAGAGAGCATTCATTAGCAAAAGCAACCGATAAATATACAAGTTAACCAAAGTAAGATACCCTGCAAAGAAATCATTGTGATTCAGAATTACTTTACCAAGAAGACATGTGATTTATCAAACATTAATAAACAAAGAGTATGCATCATGAGTTCTCCAAAACAAAGTGTTTCATCTGTAAGCATAAAACAAATTTATAGGTCAAAGCAACTGACACAAGTAAAGTTGGAGGGGCGCCACAGTAGTTTACATTAAGCTCATTTGTGCCTTTTTTTTTTAGAAATCACCCAAGGATGCATAACATTTCTTTTCTACTTAATTTAAAAGTTGACACAAATTCCATTGAAACTTGAAATTTAAGTAACATATTTTTTTTCTATTCTTAAGAGGAAATTTTCCATTCCATTAAGTGTAATGCTTTACTTTGCTTCACAGAGCACAATGTAAAGGATAATACTTGCTGATAGAAATAATCTAAATGTTATCAATTAATAATTTAAATATACTATGTGAATATACCAACACCTGCTAAAGGTATTTTAAGGTGCAATATTATTACCTATCATGCATCTCTTATGTCAAGGGTGAAGTTTGCCACCTTTTTTACTTTTTAAGTTGTCAATAGTTTTGTTTAGAATTTTTAAAAATTCATGTGAAGAAGTGAATCCATCAAATATCAGTATTTTTTGTGAAATATCTGCAGCCTCTTTGTTGACTCACTCGGGGATTCTAGAGGAAAGAGAAATTCCATTCAAATTAGGTAATTTGTGGAGAGTTTAATAAAAGAACCCTTTTCAAAAGGATGGACAAAAAGATAGTGAGAACTTCAGGGTATGGCAACAGCAGAACTCTTACTGTGTATGTCAGGCAACCTTGAACCCTAGGTTCAGTGATTCTCTAGGAAACTCCGCAGGACTTTTCACACAGTCCTACTCACTGCTAAAATTTATTATAACAAGGAGTCATCAAATACTATCACCCCAGAGAAAAAGCACATCGATGAGGTTCAAGGGAAGCCAGGTTCAAGCTGGTCCTCCCTCAGTGGTGTCACAAGGGGCATGCTTAACTCCCCCTAGCAATGCATTGGAAGAGCATGTACAAGGGGTTGCTCTGTACAGGTTATGTACAAGAGCATGTACATAACTCAGTGGTAGAGTCGTTGCCTAGCACGTGCAAGGCTCTGAGTTTGATCCCCACCTACAAACAAACAAACAAACAAAAACAGGGACGCTCAGTACTCAGGCCTTTTATTAAGGGGTGCTCATGTAGATAGTTTCTACCTGGATGTCCCAAAATTACAGACTTCCAAAAGGGAAGGAGGTGTTAAGTGTAAACCATGTAGTTTGTAAAAAAATAAATAAATAAAAGTTTGATACTCTGATCTACTTCGATCAGTTCTACAAAGAGGCAGTACTCAAGGAATCCAAGTTCCTAGTTGTCAAATGAGGGCCAACCTTATAAGCAGGTCTTTCTAAAAAAAAGCAGTCAAACCTGCTAAGTTAACTCTTCTCTGCATGCTATTCTTAGCCTGAAGAGGGACAAAACTCAAAGACAAAAAAGGCTATAGAAAGAGCTCTACCCAGTGGGAGCTGAGACCAGTTACAGAGGGATATAGCCAATTCAAGACTGCTTCTAAATTGAGACGGGAACTGGGGATTCCCAGTCAGCTTTCCAGGGAGCTTTCTTTTTCACCTGCTCTCCTGATGGCTGGTGGGTTCCTCCTAGAAGTGGAATTTAACTAAAAAGCTTAGTGCAAGACAGCCTGTTGGTGCAGAGCCTAGAAGACTTGTAGGACAGAACAGAGTGACATACGGTATAGTAAAGTGAAGTTATCCTACATACCAGGCCAAGATTTTCAACTAGGAGCTTCTTCTGCTTCATCGGTACCCATGAGTGATACACGATTTTAAAGACATATAATCAAATTACCTTTTAGGACAGCATTTCAAGAGCATTGAAAATGAAATATATAAAACCATATATATTATGTGTAGGATTCCTAAAGACCGTGTCACTGGGTCCTACAGCAGGTAATATTTGTTACATTTTTAAAATAAAACAGGTAAGACATTCTCTAGACAAAATAGTACCTGTTTGGTATTTAAATGAGAATTTTCATAGACTTAGAGACTTAGAGATGGTTCAAAATCACTTTCAGAATAAATATGATATATTTGACATATTGTACGAACAATGTACCCTTACCCAGGATAACAATAAAAAAGAATACTTATTTAAAAAGAATAAATATTATGAAATCTGGGCATGGGGTAACAGGAAGCTACCCTTTACTCACTCAAAGTAGAATTCTGAGAAAATATTCACACATTCATTGATCAGAATTGCCAAGAATGGTTTTTGCAGATGCCAGCTTTCCTTTTAAGGAATGAAAGTGTAACATTGTGACTAGATCCATCTGTCTGGGAGCCTTGAGCTTGAAGCTAAGCTAGGAAACTTTAGTAGTTAAATAACTATAGTTAAATTTGGACTGAACTTTCAGAACCTTTTCTCATTTACAGTAGGAGCGTGATACTCTCTAATTCTCACAGTTAATTTGATAAGAAAGATGGTTACCTGTATTCATTTCTGTACATATGAAATGCTCATATATATATATATATATAAGAAATGTTCAGTTAAATATCACCTCTTTTTCTTTACTTTCAAAATATGTAGTCAGGCCACCTGATTTTTACATCTGAAGAATTGTAAAGGACATCTTTGACCATGGGTACATATTAATATTTACTAATAAGAAAATTACTTCCTATGTTAATGTGTTAATGGAATCATGTACATATCTTATATGGAACATGTGAGTCGAATGCCAGTAAAGCAATAGAGAGCACCTGGTGCTAAAATTGTCAAAGGAACATTGAACAGAAATAACATGGTGGAGTTATTAAGATGATAGTTTTTCGAATTTAGAGAAAAAAATGGATGCTGCTTTCCTTCTTCAAATCCAAAATGAAATGATGAGATAACATTTAACAATGATGCCTGGTAAGGCTCCAAACATCTAAATTCTTTTGTAGGAATCTCATTCAGCTAAAAGAAGAGCACTGTATGTTCATGAACTGTATTCTTTTTTCATTAATTTTTTATTAGGATATATTCATTATACAGGAAGTATTCATTGTCAAAATTCCAAATAGGCTTATAGTGTACATTGGTTAGATCACCCCCACTATCTCTCCCTTTCAACCCCCTCTCGAATCCACTTAAAACTATTGCAAGAGGGTTCTTTGTTCTATTTGGTAAAGTATATGAAGTCTATCAACCATATCCCTTCACCTTAATCTTCTTTGTTCTCTGCTCCCCCCAACCAGCACAAGTACTCCCCCACACACTGTATCTATTTTACAGTCCTGTTTCTCATTATTAATATCTAAGTTGATGTTCAAAGGGGTTTCTCAAAGTGTCCTTGCTGTCAGTATACTTTACTTTGGTCCACTGAACTCCTTCCATTACTCTCCCTTATCCCTTTACCTCCCACCCCCCATTTTTCAACAGTTTTCAATACATATTCTTATATCTTCTACCCTCACAGAGATTATGTTTTACAATATTAATGCTCCTTCACTAACTGTATTCTCATGCACAAGAGAAAATAATGAGGACTATTGACTTGGACATGAGTCTATTCATCCGTTGATTAGATGGAAACAGAGAAGATCCAGGTGAAATTTTTCTTCCTCTATGATGGAGTAACTGTCCTGTAAAACAGGTTCCTAGACTCCCTACCTTTGTTTTGTTGTCTCTACAGCGTTCTAGGTGGATGACCACTAACTCCACATTTAATGGAGTATATGCCCTAGCCTATAAGGAGCCCAGGATTCCCACACATCACTTTTACTGACACAATTTTTGCCAAAAAGTTGGTGTCATGGTAATGCCTAACTGCACAAGTAACCATGAAACTGAGCTCTGAATTCTGTTGATAGGAATAAGTGAATGATAATCAAGAAAAAAAATATAAAAACATCTTCCACAGATGAAAGTAAATAAAATAATAAAAACAATGAAAGAGAAAAATCATAAAATATAAATAAGGAAATTAAGGTTTTCTGGTTACAGGAACAGTTTTTTGGACAAAATTAAAACATTTCTAGGAACCTAAAACCAACCAAAGGCAAACAGCAAATCAAAAAAATTTATTTTATTTATATATTTAATTGTTTATTTATTGGTGGTACTTGGGTTTGAACTCAGGGGGCCTTGAGCTGACTGAGTAGGTGCTCTACAACTTGAACCACACTTCCAGCCCAGGAAAGTTCATTCTTGTTAAGCTGGTAGGTCTCTGAGTAGCAGTATCAGAAGTCTGGACTTATTCACATACTCCCAGTTCCATGGTCAAGTATTTTACTTTTATCAGAGTTAAACTGATTATATATATCAATAGCTTTCACACCAGAGAGAACTCACTTGACTTGGAGCTAGGAGCAAAAATTCAAAGTTTTTCCAGTTAAAAGTGACAAGACTTCTATATGTAGTAAAAATTAATCATCAAGAATGAAAATAAAATATATTCTCAATTTTTTAAAAATGGACAGAATTAACTCCTAGAAGACCAGTCCTACAAGAAATATTTTTAAAATGATTTAGAATAAAGGAAAATGACACAGACAGTAAATTGAATCTGTGGGAAGAAAGGTAAAACACCAGAAATGAAATATATTTAGGTAAATTTAAAGACTCTGCATGTGTTCAGTTAAATTCTGTTTTTTCTCTCAAATTATTTTTAAAACCTAATACTATTTAAAACAATTACATCAGTATAGTCTTAGGTTTATTAAATGAATACAACATATTTATAAATATATTTTTGGTATCTATATAAACTAATAAATTTATCAAGGTTAGATGATATAATGCCAACACAAAAATCAATTTCATTTCAATATACTATCAATTAGTCTGAAAGTAGAATTAAGAAAACAGTTCACTCACAATTGTATAAAAAGAATAAAAACCTTAGGAATGCTTTC